CTTGATCTTAACACTTTTCTGGTTTGGTCCTTGGTTTCAGATTGTTTCAATTAAATCCCTAATTGGCCATCAAACTTCAATAATTATGCAATTAAGCCCATGATTTGACCAAATCAACTTTTCAAAATTATAATTGGATCTAGAACTTTAATTTTTTCTAACAAAAGCCTAAATTGACTTAAAAATCAATTTTCTTGCAATCAAACCCTCCATAAATTCAATTAAACCTTGCATAAAATTTAATTGAGTCCATAAACATCTGATTTTGGATTTTGCTTTCTCAAATTGAATTTTTCTTGTTCCCATGGCTCTCGTCAGTAAAAAAATATACTTTTAAAATTTCAATTCTTGTATTTTTGAACCTCCTCACCAATTTCTGTTCTTTTTCAGCATTCCAACATCCTTTTCTCACTCCTATTATATTTGAATTTCTTTCGAATATTTTTTGATATATTTTTTTTATATTTTGTTATTTTTTCTGTGAGAATCCAAAAATAAATAATAACACTGGGCAAGCTCGGAAGTGGAGGCAGCGTGGGCTCGGGTAGAGACGGTAGGGTTGTGGGTAAGATTGGCAATGTGGGCTGCCGGAGACTTGGGGTAGGAGGCAAACGTGGCAGATTTGGTACTGAAGGCAGAGGTGGTACTTGTAGAAGATGGCGAGCAGCTAGGATAGCATGGACGTTTGAAAATGACAGAGCAATGAAGAAAATGAGAATGAAGCACTTGAAAGAGGCCATCTTTAACAGAGCGTTCTTGCACACACCTTCAGTGAAAAACTCTGCAGTGATCTGCGTCAAAAACAAGATTGGTATTGGGCTTATATAGTTTAATTTGTGATTTTCATAGATGTGGCCACTCGTCCACGTATATCATGTGATGAGTGACCTAGGTTTGGTTAGGAAAAAAGTTGAACCCGTTTCCCTCAAAGTTATTTGGTAGTTCATCTTCTCAGCGAGTTGTCTTAGAAGGATATTGACCCGAGTCTGCACTAAAAAAATTCTATTTTTGGCCTAGTTTTTGTGATTTTTTTTCTTAGTTCATACTTAGTCATATCAGGATTCTCAGCATTCATCATTTTTTGATGTAGACCCGGAAATCCCTTTTGACAAACTAGATTGCTGCCAATTTCTACTATATAAAAAGCTTTATCTCACTTCGACTCCTTCGTCAAAGTTATATTCCTAAACATGTAAATAATTTTAGGCTATTGAATCGCTTAATTTTGATGGTAGAAGTTCAAGATATACCCCATTTGAATATCTAGTATGAAAGCGGGGATTTCTGCGGTAAGAAGGATTTTTGCCCAAGTTTTTAGGGACACAATTACAAGACGCTTAAAGTTTGAAGACCAATTGCAGGCCAATTTGAATCTTTTTTTGGACCAAGGACCAAATGGAAAAGGTGCTAAAATAAGAAAGTTGATTGAAGATAAAATTAGAAAGAAATTTTGCCGGATGAATAGAGATTCGATCAGAAAAGGAAAATAGGTGAACTGATCACGCTTTGCTTTCATCAGAAAAGGAAAATAGGGGGAGTTGATCACGTTTTGCTCTCATTTTTATGGTTGTCATTTTGAGAACCCCTCCCCCATCTGATTTCTTTCCTACACCCTCCATCTGATTTCTTTTCTTTTTTTCGCTGCAAATCCCTGTTGTTTTTCATTTATCATCATGTCTGATTTTTTTAGCTGAAGACCACATTTTTGTTGCTCCATTTCAAAGGGAGTAGCTGGCCTATGGAAGGAAAGAAAAGAGCCACACTATCCTTTAAAACTAGAAAGAAATCAAATGTAAGCACAAGATCAAAATCAGAATATTGCAGCTTTCTTTTTGTGTTTTTTTAACTGCAAATCAGTAGGGATTTGAGTCCTAGGATTAATGCATTAAATCCTTCCTATATAGAGACATATTTAGACTATATATAAGCCCTTCTAATGACCTAACGGGGGTAGAAAAAAAGGAAAGCAGAAAAATAAGAAAAGAGAGAACAGAAAGGAGGAGCAAAAAAAAAAAAAAATAGAAGAGAGAAATGGAGAGAAAGGAACAAAGAAAAAAACAACAGTTTGGAAGGAAAACGCAAGAGAGGCAGGCGACTGGGAAACCAGTTATTTACCAGTATTCAAGAAGGCACGCGTGACCTGTGTCTTTCAGCCTTGGGTTTTTATTTTCTGCAACCAGGAGCTGTAGTTTCTGAAGGAAAATGCAAGAGAGGCTGGCGACAGGGGAAACAAGTTATTTACCAGCACATAGTTGAAATATTTCATCCAATAGCTGAAATATAAAAATATTTCAGCATCTCTATTTTCGTCTGTTATTTTCCAATAGCTAAGGAGGCATCTGTGAGTTGTCTTTCGATCTTTGGTTTTTATTTTCTGCAAACAGGAGCTGCAGGTATAAGCTCTAATCTCTCCTCCTTTGTTATTTTTATACTAGGCATTCGGTTGTAAAGCTGTTTCTTCCCTCTGAATAATTGGTTTATGTTTAGAAAAAACCAACGCTTGCCTATTATTTCTTTCATGATTTTTGAGTTCAGCTGCTGTCCATGTAAAAAGGGTTTGTCTATTCATGTTTAGGAACTTTTACATTCAAGGACTTTCCTTTTGTTTTCCTTATACCTGCTGGAGAATAAATCAGCTGGCCTTTTTTTTAGTGATCGCTCCCAGTTTTATTTTGTACTTTTGTACTTGCTGTCTGTGCATTGAGTTGGCTTTGATTTTTTTTATTTGCTTTAAGCTTATTATTAATCTTAGAATATATATGACGGCTGTTTAGCTTTTATTGTGATTTTTCTTTTGTGTTTAATTGTGATGCTTGTGTTTTGATTAAAAATAAATAAATTTAAAAGTTTGCTTGTGTGTTGCATATAGCTAATATCCTAACATGTTTTGAATGCTTTTTTTATACAAAAAATATTGAAAGTTTTAAAAATATATTTTTGTATGGATTTCTTAAACACAAAAAAAATTGTTTTCTTACATTTCTGGATTTTACAACATGTTTGTAAAACTCCAAAGGATATTGGCCAATATTCCAAAAAATATAAAAATCTTATTTTGGAGGGAATTCATCTATTATTCACTGCTAATGTTTGGATAAAGAAATCCTTAAAAGACGAATATCCAAAATATTATTGAGAATAATTTGTTATTATTCACTGTTAATATTTGGATAAAGAAACATAGAGTGGTAAATATCCAAAATAATTTTTTAGAAATAATAAATCCGCACACATCCTTGAAAGAAGCCTTGATTATAATCAAGGACATTTTAATTTTTTTTACTCCATGGTTTACAAGCCGTGCGAGTATAAAACACTAAGGCAAAAATAGGCTTTTAAAGTGCCCTAAATTTCTAAATTTTTGTCCCTCCTCCTTGCGATTTACAAGTCGCGAACTGTTGAAATACTAAGGGAAAAATGAGCTTTTGAAGCACATGGAATCTCCTTGGATTTCTATCTTAATCAATTTAGTTTGAATCAAACCTAGGAAAACAGATGAGATTAAAAAAACAACAACACCATAGCAATTATAAGGCAAACCAAACATCAAGTAGCTTACCTTAGGTAGGGCATACTAGGAATGCTAATACCTTCCTTTTACACAACTAGTCCCTTGCCTTAGAATCTCTGAAAGACCAGTTAGGTTTCCTAGTGACCATAATACTAAGTAGCAACTCCTTTATTCACAAAAATAGAAAACGACCCCGAAACCAAAATAGAAAACGACCCTGAAACCAATTAAGGAATCACCGCGACGCTGCGCTCCACTCATGAGGATGCGACACCCGATAAGATAAAGATCTTCTTACAAAGAAGAACTTTTCTTAAACCTTAGACAGACCAACAATTAGAAAACATGACAAGACCTTAGGGTTTGAGTGCTAATACATTTTCTTTATGCAACTGGTCTCCATACACGATCTCGAAGAACCATTAGGGTTCCTAGTGACCAAAATAATAGGTAGTGATTTCTATTTTCTCTTTCAACTGATAAAGAACACGAATTTCATTTCTCTCTCTATATTTATTAGATACATATGAGAATGAATGATTGCCGCAAGCCCATTCAAGTGCTATAATTAAGTAGAATTTTTATTTATAAAAAATACTATGGTTTTTTCTTTTCTTTTCTTTTCTTTTCCTTTTTGTGTTATAAAAGTAGATAGAGTTCATCCAATGGAAGGCCAGTTACGAAATTGGATTTTGCAATATTTGAATTTATTGAAAACCACAGTTCACCAAGTGTTTAATTTTTCAAGTAATTAATAGACAAGTGATGAGTCTTGATCTATGATCTACATCGCAGACAACCCAAGTCATCGCACAGAACTAGGTAGGATTCATGAAATACACAAGCTTGAAACTTCAATTTATTATAAAGCTTCTTTAGCGGAAAGCATGATGGGACTTTGGTCAAACATACCCTGACATCAATTGTTCATCCATGGTCAAATATGATCTGCTCTTCGCTAGAGTTTGATTTTATAATCAATATTTTTTTTTGTATTTTGAATTATTTTAATGTATTGATTTTAAAAATAATTTTTAAATAAAAAAATATATCATACATAATCAAATATGAGCTACTCTTCACTGGAGTTTGGACTTACGCATAATCAAATATGAGGTACTCTTCACAAGAGTTTGGTCTTATGATCAACATTTTTATATATATTTTGAAATTTTTTATGTACTGATTTTAAAAATAATTTTTAAAAAATAAAAAAATATTATTTTAATTCATTTTAATATGAAAAACACTTTAAAAAATAATTACAACCACACTCCTAAACAGGTCTGAAAACACTTATATGGCTTTAAGATCATGTTTATTTTTGTATTTTAAAAATATATTTTAAAAAAAATTCAATTTTTTAATTTATTTTAAATTAATTTTTTTTGTGTTTTCACATCATTTTAATGTGCTCATAATAATTTTAAAAATATAAAAAATACTATTTTGATGTATTTTTGAATGAAAAGTATTTTAAAAAATAACTACAACCATATTCTTAAACACCCTGTAACATTATATAAATATTTATTGCCTTGGACCCTACATTTAGTTTGATCTTTAACCTCACTGTATTTGCCCCCATTATCATATTTTCCGGAATCCTCTTAGGTAAAATGCAGGCCAATTGGTTTCTGTACATAGGAACAGGCCTGCCTCTGACACATGGTAAATGCTGGAATCCATCAATCCAATATTGCTATCTAGAAATGAAGACGTGCAAGCTATATCATATTCTTTAATGCAAATTGAATCTTCTTCTGTGCACAAACGTTTCCTTGTCTAGTAAGTTCTCTTGGGGAGGTTCATCGATCATCTATTGTTACGCAAAATATTTCTCGCCGATCACTGCGTATGCCACATTTTCACTCCATCATTGCTTGACCTGAAAGATTTTGGAATTTTTTTTGTTTTTTTATTTTTTAAATTATAATACGCACACACATATATAATTCACGTCCTGCATGAACAGTAGGACGTGAATTACATTTCACGCCTACTTTTCATGCAATGAACAGTAAGAAGGGGAGGAAGGGAGAAGAAGAAGAAGAAGAAGAAGGGGAAAGAGAGAGAGAGCAAACAACCAAGCGTGGTGGTGGCGGTCGTAACTGGTCTGGTTGAGGATGGTGGAAGAGCTGGTGGTTGTAGCGGTAGAGGCTAGCATTGGTCACGGCTGGAAAAAGAAAAAGTTGCAAAGGAGAAAGTCTGCAGCGGGGAGGAGGAAAGAAAGGAGAGGAGAGAGACACGGTGTCTGATCTACCACTGGTAAACATCTGTTGATGTAGGAGAAAGGTTTCTATGGTGGAGCTGGCAGTGGGAAGACTAGTGATGGTGTGCTGCCGATGGCTGCAGCGGTGGAGGGAGAAAGAAAAATAGAAAAAACAGAGAGAAAGCGGCAGAAACTGGGAAGAGGTTGATTTTTTGGCTTGTTTTGGACTCGATTTTCTCCACTCTCCGGCCATGAAATCCACCTTTATTTAGGCAGTGGAAGAGGGCAATCTTTTCTTCACTGAAGAAAAATTTCATCCCTTGATTCAGTTGGGAAGGATCCCAACCATTAGCTCAAAATAGGTATCATGAGTTGCAAAATCTGCAGATAAAAACTGACTGAGGTGGCCTATTTAAGCTGTCACCTGAGATGATAAATTATCATTTAGCCTGAACTGATCATATGGGGATCTAGATAAAGTGTAGAGGATCATTCTTGTATAAGATTTGTCAAATTTAGTTGATGTTAGGTATATTAAATACAACTGCAAATTAGGTAACTATATCAGCTTTTTCAGAAAAAAAGATAATGAACAGTGCTGATTTCTCTTTTGTCAAAATTTATTTATGTCCTTTCTCTTGTAATTGCTTTCAATTGAACCTTAATTGACCCTAAAATTTTTTTATTTAATGCAATTAAGCCCATAATTTCAATCAATTAACTTGGTAAAAATTAAATTTGGTCTCTTAAAATTTCAATCTTCTCAATTAAGCCAAAATTAGGCTCCCAAACTTAATTTTTCACCAATTAAGCCCAAAATAAAATTAATTTGACCCATTTAAAGTATATTTAAGTCCTTGCACTTAATTAAATCCTTCAATTGGACCCAAATTAATTCTTAAACATAATTAAAATTTAATTTGGCCCATGATTAAATCAATTTGGCTTATTAAAAATTTAATTATTTCATTGGACTCAATTTTTATGCAAATTCCTTTAATAATCATTCAATTTAACCTTGAATTTGCATCGTTCTCTATTTTTGGGTATAATGGGGTACAATTAGGCCTTGAATTTCCTCAAAAAAAATTACAGCTTGATTTTTTCCTATTTTTGTGGCCCTTCTTTATCTGCTTTCTCTACATTGTCACCCTTTATTTTATTTTTTGATTTTGATTTTTGAAAAAATTAATTTTTGAAGAATAACCTAGAATTGGGTTATTATAGTTGCCCCCCTCTTTACAATGCTTATGATAGAAAGTTACGAGACTTTAGATGGTAAGCATTTGTAAAGAAGAAAAAGAAGAATGAGATGATGGGTTCATCATATTAAAAAATGATGAATCCTTTTGAGGGCTAGAAAGCGCACTCAGAGTAAAAACTGAAGATTTTTCTTTTGAAAATTCAGAGATTTTGAAGTGGTTGAATAGTCATAGGTGACCTACCCAAAGAAAATTAAAAAAAGGTTTGTTTTTTTTTTTTAGATGGTCTTATTGTAATGGGTGACCTACCCAAATGAAAAACGCAAAGATTTTTCAAAAAGGTTAAAAATGCAAGATTTTTCAAAGTGGTGAAAAATACAAAGATTTTTCAATGTGGTCTTGTTGTAATGGGTGACCTACTCAGATGAAAATTTTTGGAGGTGGTAAGAAATGCGAGGATTTCTCAAAATGGTTTTCTTGTAATGGGAAACAGGCTTAAAAATGGAAGATTTTGAAAAGAGTTTTCGAAGAGGTCTGATTGTGATGGGTGACCTGCTTAGGTAAAAAAGATGAAATGTCTTGAAGAGACAACATGATAAGGCTTGAAGGCGCAATATTCAAGAGATGGAAGCTCAAAGGAGCGTTTGAAAAGAGATAGGACTAGAAAGGGAACAAGGGCAGAAAAGCACACTTAAAAGCAGGTAGGGTTAGAAAACACAGTACCTGAGAGGTGATGGCTCAAAGGCGCACTTGAAAGGAGGTAGAGTTAGAAAACATACCACCTAAGGTGTGAGGGCTTGACGGCGCACTCAAAAGGAGGCATGGTTAGAAAACGCACTACACAAGGTGATGGCTTAAAGGCACACTTAAAAAGAGATAGGGTTAAAAACACACTACCCAAGTTGTGAGGGCTTGAAGGCGCACTCGAAAGGAGGTAAGGTTAGAAGACGCACTACCTAAAGTGGTGTCTTAAAGGTGCATTTAAAAAGAGATAGGGTTAGAAAACACACTACCCAAGGTGTGAGGGCTCGAAGGCGCACTCGAAAGGAGGTAAGGTTAGAAAATGCACTACCTAAGGTGGTGGCTCAAAGGCGCACTTAAAAAGAGGCAAGGTTAGAAAATACACTACCTAAGGTGTGAGGGCTCAAAGGCATACTTAAAAGGAGGTAAGGTTAGAAATGCACTACCTAAGGTGGTCGATGGCTCAAAGACACACTCGAAAGATGGTAGGGTTAGAAAACGCACTACACAAGGTGAGAGGGCTCGAAGGCGCACTCGAAATGAGGCAAATGAGGCTAAAAGCACACTATCTACATAATGAGGACTCAATAGCCCATTCAAGGATGAAAATAATGCAACATGATCAATATACATGTATGCTTACTTGAGAAATATAAGTCCCCTTTTCTTTGTATGATTTTTGTCTCCTCAAAAGCTTGAGTCTCTAATAACAAGTTTTGATGGCTCTTTTCATTATTGCTTACTTAAGTCATACCTTGTGATCTTGACCTCTAGAAGGGGTATGGCATCAACATACTTCTTTTTTTACAAACCTTTATCTGAAGGGTTGCCAACTATGTATAATATCTCATATTTTCTTAGAAAATAAATCATAGAGCCAATCCTATATGTTTTGGTTGATAGCCCCTAGTTTGATCATAGCTCCAAGTGTTCAATTTGGGTTTTTCCCTAGGGATGAGGCTATGTGAAAAAAGATTTCGTTATTTACAAGGAATTGATTTCACAAAAAAACTTTTGGAATTTCAAACTTATTCCAAATAAAAAAATCATTTTGATGTTTATTTAAAACAAACTTATCCTGGAAAATTCAAGTGATTCTTATGGATAGGTTTGTATGAGTATTTACAAATTTCATTTTGCTTTTGGTGAAGTGAAGTGATGTTTGATTGGTTAAAAGGTTCAAGCTTCAATTTGAGGGTTTTAAAGAACTAGTTTTCAAAGCATTCATTTTGCATGTATAAATAATGACTTGTTTCACATGGGAAAGCAAAGTCTACCGATCTAGATTGCCTGCCTTTGATTAGAAAAGGTTTGATTAGGCATGTATCATAGGCTTTGGCTCTTAGCTTTGAAGAAAAAGGATATTTATAGGCTCAAAAGGTGTTTAAGGGATTTCAAGATTAAAGATCACTAGTGCTTATATCCCCAAACCTTTTTTCTTTTTCTTTTTTGGTCCATGGAATTGATTTGCAAAATGATCCATAATTCCCCTTCAATGTTAGGCTTTTTCTTCTTTTGGTTTTAAGCATCATTATATTAGTGTTTTATTTGGGCACTTTCGATCATTGAGGATTTTTCATGCCCCCAGATTTGTTTGGGCACTTTTAGTCATTAAGGATAGTTTTTTTTGTATTTGCTCCCCAATGTAGGGTGTGATCCTAGCTAAAGTTATTTTTTCAAGAAAAAGTTATTAGACTCAAAAGGAGACTGCAAGGGATTTTTAGCATTGTGAAAGGATGATCAAAGATGGCTTCTTCATTTCAAATGCATTCATTCAAAATCGGTAAGCTTTGCTTTCTCATTTGCGAATATGTAAAATGGTTTATTCAAGCAGTCAAAACACAACTTTGAAGTTATCTCATTGTGTTCGGGTTGTCTTTTAGGTTTTTTTTTTTAAGTGTTAGGATATCACTTGAATTTTCAGAACTTGTTTATTAGAATAAAAACCAATTTAATTTTTTTTATTAAAACTTTGATTTCCCAAGAATCCTTTGTGAAAACATGGGATCATGCTTTTTTTGGAGAGAGGAAAAAAAGGGAAAATACCAAACAATTCTTGGTGTAGTGAATACAGGGTGTGCTCAGTGTGTTATTTGCATGAAACAACAAAAATAAAGGCACATTATGAACAAATGATCTTATTAACAAGAAAAGCTCATTTGACAGAGAGTCTTGTGGCATGACAAAATTAAAATAACTTTGCAGACATGATCAAATAGAGGAGGTTATTAAGGGCAGACTCCATTCTCCCATCTTGTGGCAGAACTTCATCCTCTATCCTTGAGAATACACACTACCTTGTTCACATCCAACTCTTGCCATCAATGATTTAAGGTTTTCAGAGCATTCTACCTTTAATGTATTTACCAATCCAGTACCTGAAGCATGATTAGGTGGAGGGTTCGAAATCATGTCTGGAGTTCCTTTAAAGGTTATCTATCCAGCTTTAATTAAATGCATGAGCCTTTTTGTGAAGGCACTGCAAGTATGAATGTTATGTCCTATAGCGCCAGCATGGTACTCGCAAATGAGGTCGGGCTTGTACCAGTTGGGGTAAGGTGGTTATAGAGGCGTGAGAGGTTCGGGAGCTACATGTCCAATGCTTAATAAATTTTGGTACATCTCATTTAAGGGTAGCGGTAATGGAGGTAGCTATTTTTGGATTATTTGGTGTCTGGTTTGAGACTCAGGTTTTTTGGTAGGAAAAGAAGAATTGAGATTGATATTGGCAATTTGGGGTGAAAGGATGGAGTCTGGTATTTTTTGAATAAGTTCTTCCTACCCTCAACATAGTCAACCTCTTTCTCTTAAACTTCGAAGCCCTCTTTCTCCTAACCTTCGAAGCCCTCTTTCTCCACAGGTGCAGAGATTCTACCACTCTTTACTCTTTGCTTTATGCGTTCAGCTACTGCCATAGCATTAGTAAATTGGTGCGCCAAACTACCCATCACATGCTCGTAGTATGGCTTCTTGAGCGTGTTGGCAAGTAGAGTCACCATCTCTTTATCCAGTAGTGGAGGATGTACTTAAGTAGCTAGATCTCTCCATGTTTGAGCATATTCCGTTATGCTTTCTTTATCCCTTTTCTTTAGATTCGATAAACTAGTTCTATAAGGACTGATGTCCATATTATACTTGTATTGCTTCACAAAAGCATCCACCAAGTCTTTTCATTTGTGAATTTTGGTGTTGTCCAATCTCATATACCAGCTCAATGCCACCCCACTTAAACTATCTTGAAAAAAGTGCATCAATAGTTTTTCATCATGTACTACTTCTACCATCTTATTGCAGTAAGATTTGAGATGAGTCATAAGGCATTGTGTTCTAGTATATTTGATGAACTCAGGAACATGAAACTTTTTTGGGATAACCATATTTGGGACCAAACACATTTCTGCTGCCCGTATTGGATCGTACAAGTCTACCCCTACAATGTCTCTAATTCGGGCTTCTAGTGCTGCCACTTTATCAATGTCATCAGATAACTTGGTTTTGTGGGACTCATTGGCAAGTGCATCTATGACTGTAGGGGCTGGTGTTGGAGTTGTTGAGTGCATAAATGTTGGATGGTGTGGAGGTTCTTGACCATGTTCACTCATTGTTTCTTCGGGTTGAGCTGTTGTTGGAGGTTGGATAAAAATAGCAAGCTAGTTAGAAGTACCTTCACTAGAGACATTTCTAATAGTTTGCTCGAGTAAGCTAGTGAGGTGAGCCATGCTTACTTTCAGAGACTCTAACTCTTCTTGGAAAAAGGCATCACGGTGGGCATGCTCTTCATCTTCCATGTTTCTTGCTTGTAGTCGGGTGTTGTAGGCTCTTTGGGACCTATATTTCAACCTATTGCATGTATAGATGTTATTTACAATGGATTAATGTATGTGTATGGATGAAATATATGTCCATGCACATTGGGTATGAGTAGAAAAAACAACCTGCAAAATAACTACGTAGGGAGTTCATGTTCTAGGTCACTACATGATAGGTAGGCTTTCTACCTAGTTCTTAAAAGGGTCTATGAACTACCCAATGAACACCTCACATGAAGGTAGTATAGGGGTTTACAAGAAATGGTTGGGGCATAGTGTGACCACCATTACCGAGTAATCACTCAGCTCATAGTTGGATGTTTCACCAATTTAAACACTGACTGAAAGTCATGAGATAGACCGCTACTCCCCACTTAACCTAGAATTGGGTTTTTTTTCAAAATTAAAATGCATGCTAAAGTAGTAAAAATACAAGCTAAAATTAAAGAGTAGTAAAAACGAAAACAATCAAACAAGCAAAGCTTAGTCCGACCAGACAAGGTGATCCCCAATGGAGTCACCATCCTGTCACTGGGTGCGAGCCGGCGCTACGTCGTTTGTCGACAGCTAAGGCTTTTTGCCGTGCCTCTAGTGAGGTGTTATATATTGGAAAAGGGTTTTGGATTTAATCATAAAATTATGATTAATGTTTAAGAGTCGCTACCTAGTATTATGGTTACTACAAACCTATTGTTTGCGAGAGTCTAAGTAAGGGACTGGTTGTACAAGTGGAGGACGCATCGCCTCCAGTACACCCTACTTAAGGTAAACTGCATTATTGTTTAATTGTTTTTTTTTCTGAGTCGGGTATATGTTGATCTTTTCTATGGTTCAAATAAGATTTATCTATTTGAGAGTCCCTACCTTATTGGGTTAAATCCTAACCATTCTAAAGTTTGAATTTTAGCATTGCATTTATTTACATCTTGTATGTTTAACACTTGAGAGTATACTTTATTGTGTAATTTTACACCCCACGAATATTAAAGTCTACATATGGATTCTAAGAAAAAAAAGATTAGAAAACGATTTTTGACATGTTGGTCAAATTCTAATGGATAATCATAAACTAGTTACAATATCCATTTTTGGATTGTTTTTAAAACATGAAAAAGATGCAATTTTTATTCATTAAACATGTTCCAAAGCAATGGTAATAGTCCCAGTTCTTTCTCTTATGAAGATGAACATGTTCCAAGACTTAATTTCCAGGTGGTAGGGATAGGAATAAGTGCTGGGGATAGGAAAGGGATAGAAGGAATTGTGGTTGACATAGTTGGGAGCTTAGGCGTGATTGGCAATGGCGGTTGAGTAACTACTATTAAAAAATTAATAAATATAAATAAAAATATCGAGAGAATATTTTTATTGGTAAATTGCCGATAGATTTTACCGACAGAAATATTTTATTGGTATTTATCAAGAGAATTATAGTGGAAAACAAGATAATTAAAACAAAGCAAAAAAGCAATGACATACCATTTTTACTGATATAATTTATTTTGTCAATAAATTCATTGGTAAACTGTGAACATAGTTTATTGTATCAATTAAAAAGGGAATCACCAACAGAAACTTCTGTTGCTATTTTCTAGAGATCTTTGAAACTATTCATTTTCCAATTACACTATTAATTATTATTCATTACAAACAAAATTATTGATGGATTGAAAAGTCATCAATGTTATTTGGCAATTTTTTGAAAATTTTTTATTAAATAAAAATTTTGAATTAAATATTAAAAACTAAATTATCAACGGATTAAAAAGTTATCGGTGATATTTGACGTTTTCTAAAAAATTTTGATTAAATTAAAAATTTAAATTAAATATTACAAAGGGAATTACCAATGAAATGATTAAAAAAATTAATATTTAATTATTCATTGGTAAAACTATCGGTAAAACGCCTAATAAAAAGCTTACAATCCATAATTTCACAACAGACATGGTTGTTTTCTTCTTTTTCTTCTTCTTCTTCTTCTTCTTCCCCATATGTAAAAAACATCAATATTCATTTTTTTTTCTTTTCTCCTCTCCTTGACTCCTTTTTTTCTCCTCCATGCTCAAGTATGTATTATTCTTCTTCTTTTTTTCTTCTCGGTTTTTTTAATTAATATACTTTATGATTTTTTTTCTCTTCTTAACTTCACTCGCAACAACATTAAAATAAGATTTTTCTTTTTTCATGTTTTTTTCACTATATTTTTTTTAATTGTTTTTGTTCTTAATAATTGTATGAATATTGTTGTAGGATTTTTTATATGATTTTCTTCTTTTTTTTCCAAGCATTTTGAGTACTATAGAGTATTGATTTTATATTAATTTAATTATTTTATAGTTTTGTAAAATAATTTTTTTTAAATATTTACCGACAAAAGTACATACAGTATTTTTTTAAAAAAATACCAACAAAATAAAATGGATATTTTTTTATGCTGTCTTTTCCTTTGGATTTGGTAGTAAACCTTTGGGACACAAGGCATGGTGGGCAAGCTAGGAAGTGGAGGCAGCGTGTGCTTGGGTAGAGACGGTTGGGTTGTGGGCAGCGTTGGCAATGTGGGCTGCGGGAGACTTGGGGTAGGAGGCAAACGTGGCAGATTTGGTACTGAAGGCAGAGGTGGTATTTGTAGAAGATGGCGAGCAGCTAGGACAACATGGATGTTTGAAAATGACAGAGCAATGAAAAGGAGAATGGAGCACTTGAAAGAGGCCTTCTTTAACAGAGCGTTCTTGCACACACCTTCAGTGAAAAACTCTGCCGTGATCTGCGTCAAAAATAAGATTGGTATTGGGCTTATATAGTTTAATTTGTGATTTTCATAGATTTGGCCACTCGTCCACATATATTAGGTGATGAGTGACCCAGGTTTGGTTAGGAAAAAAGTTGAACCCATTTCCCTCAAAGTTATTTGGTAGTTCATCTTCTCAGCGAGTTGTCTTCAAAGTCCACAAATGTAGCGGTGCATGAACTATATAATAACTACATCATAGAAACAACCAGGTCAAAACGATGCTAATCTGCATTGATGGGCTATCTAACATTTGAGCTCTAGAGCACAGCACAGTGGAAGATGGATGTGAAGGTGAGCTAACCGAGAAACAGAAGTTTTTCTCTTCTATATAAGTCCAAGGCAGATCTTGTTTTTCTCATTGAAAACATTACGAAGCCTTTACATAAATTTTGAGGAGCGATAACATCTACTGGTGATGGCTTATTTCAAGTGCTTCATCTTTGCTTTGTCCATTGCTTTGGCCGCCTTAGGCATCAATGTAACCTTAGCTGCTCGCCATCTCCTCCAATTACCACCTCTCCCATCGGTGCCGAATATGCCCAAGCCCACATTGCCACCTTTGCCTACCATCCCAACCCTGCCCACAACCCAACCATCTCTACCTAAACCTACACTGCCTCCACTTCCTAACTTACCCACCATGCCAAGTGTCCCCAAGGTTAATTTGCCTCCATTGCCAAGCATGCCTTCACTCCCTACTATCCCAACCACAATTCCCTCCATCCCATTCCTCTCCCCACCACCTGGAAACTAATTAATTATCCTTGATTATGATTATATACCTTATGAGCAGTGGTCTATTGCCATTGCATTAATCCTTTTATATAGGGAGTTGTGGGAGTTATTCAGTTGTTTGTTTCTGATTTAGTTTCATCTATTTGAACATTCTCGATTCCTGTCTTATATTTGTGAGTTTGTGCCACTGGATTACTTGGATGTAGTTTGAGATTCTGCTATTTATATATACATGAATTTCTTTTCACTTTTGCTGCTACTACATTATCTACCCAAATCTTAATTAGTCCTTGTTTGTGATGCTAGATGACCTCACCGCCACGTACATAAGTATCATGAGCAAGCCACATATGCCCAGCTTGCCAAGTTTCTTTACAAGTTAGAGCTGTCTAATTTTACACCATGTATCTTCGCAATATCTCGGATGTCCCATAGCAGTTTGTAATAGAACTTGTGCAAAGCAAAATAAACCAAGAAATTTGAGAAAAACTATTGCGTGATATATCTTTAATCATTAAATCGAAATGAGGAAGATTATAAAACAGAAATGGAAAAATGGTTTACTAGTGGAAAAATTGAGAAAAATATTTTATTTTTTTATCTGAGATTACAAATTTATATATAGAACATGTCGCACCAAACATTGCAGAGGCCTTAAAATTTTTATCTTTGGAAAAGAATGAATTTCTATCATCTTATTCTTTGATGTGAAATGATATTTTTTAAAGAGTCGCCACCTAGTATTATGGTTAATAAGAACCCTAACTGGTAAAAAGAGATTCTATGATATGAGACTGATTATTCATATGGGAAGATATTATCACCCATTGAACGTCCTACCTAAGGCAAGCTGCATTGCTGATTTTTTCATAAATTGCTAATATTTTGTTAGTTTATGCTATGTTGG